GCACCCAGGGGGTCCTCTGACATGTGAGCGACCTTCTGTGCCTTCCATGAGGCCCGCACACGTGTGAGTGACCTCCCAGTCACTTGTCCTTCCATGCCCAACTTTGCTACTTGTTGCATGCAAACTAGACACGTTGGATCAAGGACTCTGAGGTGTTTTCCGCCCAGAATCCTACACGGACTGTAGCGCGGAAGACCTGCTCTCTTCGACCTATTCACAGTTCACCTTTGTCCGTAACATCAGCCAAGAGAAGGAAGTCAACTGCTGTAACCGAACAGCACAGGCTGGGGGACTTAGCCAACAGAAATATCTTGTCTTACAGTTCTGGAGGCTGGAAGTTGGAGACCAAGGTGTTCATAGGGTCTGTTTCTTTTGAGGCCTCTCTCCCTGGCTTGTACAGGACTGTCTTCTCCCTGTATCTTTACATGGTCTTTCCTCTGTGCCAGTCTGTGTCCTGAGAGGGACAGACAGAGCACGAGTGGGGGAGGGGCAGAGAGAAAGGGAGACACAGAATCTGAAGCAGGCTCCAAGCTCCAAGCTGTCAGCCCAGAGCCCAACGTGGGGCTTGAACTCACGGACTGGGAAATCATGACCTGAGCTGAGGTCGGACGCTTAACCAACTGAGCCATCCAGGTGCCTCCCCGCTCCTCGCCCTGAACTCTACTTCTTATAAAAACCCCACTCACACTGGATTAGAGCCCACCCACATGACCTCATTTTGCCTTAATTACCTCTTTAAAGGTCCTGTCTCCAAATACAGTCACGGTCCGAGGTACTGGGGGTTAGGACTTCCACATATGAAATTTGGGGCCATGGGGAGGTGAGGGAACACACAATTTAGTTCATCAGGGAGCCCTTCTTCTGTTTCCCACGTGCTCCATTCAGTTCTCTGTGCAATTCCCACGGGCCAGAAGCCCCAGTTATGTGCTTCCTTTTCCTTTCTAGGTGGGAGTTTTCTTATTTTTCCCTTTCTGATATGCCTTCTCCCCTTCTAAAATGGCAAAATGCTACTATGGGACAGTTTCCAAGGGGAAGAAATGAGAAATCCGTTAGTTTAATATTTTCAAAGTATTATCTTCTTTACCTTTATGTGGAGGTTATGAATAAGCCTGGCAAACTGGGAAGGAGGTTGGTAAAACTGACTTGCATAAATCCGGGCACCTGAGAGCCCACATGCCTCAAGAAAGAAAGGGTTGCACAATGGGCTCACCAGCCTTTACACCCCGGGGAAGAAAGACCCCCATACCATCTGAGAGAGTTTGCTCTCTGACTCTGTAACCATTTGGACCCCAGTAAAAGGCAAAACCATAAGAGAAGAAAGAAGTCTTTTACCCAACTGGAGAGGCTCCCTGGGGCTCTGAGATTCCAGAACAAAGGGAGGACTTCTAAATGGGGCCAAGATTCTGAGGGCAAAATGGGTTTAGCAAGCTAACAAACATCCAGATCTTGGTGATGATAGGATCTCTTTCGTACCCTCAAGCTATGAGGCGTAGGAATATCCAGATTCTTTGAATTTGATCGAGAAAGAAAAAAAAAGTTGAAGAAAAAAAGAGGGCCTGGTTAACTGACAACATTTTCATGGCCGTTTGTTCTTCAATAAGCAGTTTTGAGACCACTTAGCAAGTAACTTTTTACCTCCAATCCTTTTCAACTTGAATGAAATGTGTTTCTTGTGTGGAATTTTTGTAAGTTTACTTTCTGTATTAGAGGGGTTGTCAGTATTTGATGATGAGCCTGGAGCCAGCTGAACATTCTTTAGAAGTTTTCAAGGTATCTGATTGAGTTTATCAGCTTCTTTTTTCATAGCTTCTTTACTGCCTCTCCGAGTGATTAGAGAGTTCTTTCAAAATTGTGCCAAGCTTGAAGTGATAATGAAACACTGCTAATCAAAAAGTGGTTGTACAGTCATGGCCGATAGGATTGCTGGTTTACCAAGTAATGAAGGACCAACAGCGCCGCCTGGTGGAATAACACGGGTACTAAGTGTTTATGCCAGCTAAGAGGAACTCCATAAAATCGGCACAAATTCAGGGTTAAGCCTCGTTTTATTGCAGATTTTCACAAGGGCAATCAAAAACTGTAAGTGAAAATTCTAATCATCTGTTAAGAAGAAGTTAAAAAGTATGTCGATTCCGATTTTTGTAACTCAGAGAATGTATAATCTCATGCATTTGTTGAAATAGTCTTGAGCCTGAAAACACAGATAAACGCGACTCTAATGATACTAGAACAAGCCTTCATCTTAGCTTATCAAAACATAATCACAGTGATTTATCAAGAGCAGATATTGCTATTCTGTCCGTAAGACCAAAATATTTTGACTGCATTTTCATGAGAAGTTAATAGATATGGAAATACATTTGGGAAAAATTCTAAACTGCCAAGAAGGGAACACATATTTAATTTTTTTTTTCCAGAATTTTCTCCCAAGTGTGAACAATGCTTAGTAGAGATTGGTGATGTTCATTACTGTCTTTCCTAGTTGCCTCATTCAGCTAAATGGAAAATTATTCTGCATGATTTTAAGTTAATGTACAATGAGAGAGAAGAGATTCCCAGAAGATTTTGAAAATTAAATGAAAGAGACCCACAGGCCAAAGTTCTTCTGAGATCTGATTTTCCCATGGGCAACAGTGGGAGATTGAGGACACGCTATAGTATTTTTAGCGTGCTTAGAGAAAGTAGATGTCCACGTAGAATTGTATTCTTGGCAAAAACTCTCTTTCAGAAGTGAATGTAAAGAAAAATCATTTTCAGAGCAATATAAACCTTTGTTAAGGACATTCGGAAGGATGGATTTCATGAAAAGGAAAGTGACCCCAAATGTAGATCTGAGATACAATGAAGGGCTGCTGAGAAAAGGTAATGTATGCAAGCCCTGGCTGTCGAAAATGATAGCAATAGATCCTGTAGGATGACACAAAAACAAGGGGAAAATGCACTACCAAAGGAATCATCAAAATTGCAGAGTTTCAAATTCCTCGTCTCATTTAAGAAAACCATAAAGATATCCACTGACTCTAAACTTGGTTAAGTTAAATAATATATCAAAATGTCTGGGGTGACTATTATGCCAGCCATGTGTCAAAGGCTCCGATGTTTGTATTTTTCAGTCCAGACCTCTGCCCGGCACTCCAGATGCATATATCAGACTGCTTATGTGACTTCTCCACTTGCATGTCTATTGGACAACCCAGATTTACCCTCATCTGCAACCCCCACGAGCCCCCCAAACAAACCCTGTCCTGCTTGTAAGCTTTCCCATGTGATTGCAACGGCATGCTTCCACTTGCTCGATACGAAAACATCTTTTTCAGTTTATCAGGATGACTGAGTGACTCTATCCTAAGACTATTTCCGGACCACCTCGTGTACTTCCTGCCGCTAACATCCTGCTCTGACCCAGCATCGCTTCTTACCTGGATTACTGCCATCGGCCTCTGTCTCCCCACCTCTGCCACTGGCGCTTTAGATTCTGTTTCTCTTATAACATCAGGGTAATCCTTTCAAAATAAGTCAGATCATAACAACTTTCTGCTCAAAAACCTGAAATGGTTTCTCATTTCAACCTGGAGTGAAAGCCAAAGGCTTCGCGACAGTCCTTACAAAAACCCACATGTGACCTCCTACCCTGCTCCCCCTGCTGAATCTGAAACAGGCTCCAGGCTCTGAGCTGTCCGCACAGAGCCCGACGTGGGTCTCGAACCCATGAGCTGTGAGATCATGACCTGAGCCGAAGATGGACACTCAACCGACTGAGCCAGCCAGGTGCCCCTTGCTTCTCCCTTCCTTTGCTTCTCCCTTCCTTTGCTGCTATGACTTCATCTCCTGTCTGCCCCACTGGCTCCCTACTCTTCCCAGAGTGCCAGGCACACTCCTGCCTTCTACAGTGCACTGGGAGTTTCCTCTGCCTTGAATACTCCTTTCTCAGACATCTGCGGGACTAATCCCTCACTGTCTTCAATAGTTGCTCATATGTTCCCTTCTCCATGAGACCCATCCTATTTGATATTGCAAATCCCTCCCCATTCCTGCCATCCTGTACTCCTGACCTTTTTGCCCTGCTCCATTTTTCCCCTTTTCTCTAGGATTTATCACTTCTAACATACTATTTAATTTGATTATTTATTCTATCTACTGTTTATCGTTTCTCTTTTTGAGGGAAAGAGGAGGGGTCCCCTTGAACTCTAAGTCACTGCCGCTGTAAGTGGCTGTAAGTCACTCTTTTTGAGAGAAGAGAGAGAGAGTGACTGGGGAAGAGACAGAGGGAAAGGGGGACAGAGAATCCCACGTGGGCTTTGTGCCGATGGCAGGGAGCCTGATGCAGGGCTCGAACTCACGAACTGTGAGATGATGACCTGAGCTGATACCAGATGCTGTACTGACTGAGCCACCCACGCACCCCTATTGTTTTTCTCTTGATTCCTCTCTCACATGCCCTGAAATACAAGATTCATAAGAATAGGAACCTTCTCTCCTTCCTTGTGTACCAGTCTACCCAAGCATCTATGACCTGGCAAGTTACCCGGTGGTGTGAGCCCAACTGTGCTCCTGAGGAGACTGCACCCTTGGCAATCACCCCTTCTCAGTTAAAGAGTGCTGCACTCTCTATCCACAGTCCTGATGGCAAGACGGGACTTGAGGATCCCTCGAGTTCCACACGGTGTCCTTCCTGCCCCACTGGGTAAGAGCAGCTCTGGTTCCACTGGGTAATCAGGTGATTCCTCTGCCTGCCTGTGTGTCCCCCAGGACAAGGAGCCCAAAGGGGACCCCTGCTCTGTCTCTCAGAGCACGTGTTTACACAAGCAACAACATGCGTCATCCACAAGGACACAGTTTTGAACAAAAAAGGGTCACAGCAAAATACATGTAGTATGATTCCAATTTCATGTGTTTAAAAACAGTTTAGTATATATATGTACAATGTAATATATATGTAATATATATTTATATATATAAATTTATGTAATATATATAATACATACAATAAAAAGGTATTTGGCAATGTGAACATATATAATAAAATTATGTAGAAAGCATGGGAATTATCAGTCGAAAATGAAAAATCACCATTCCCTCTAAGTGAAGAGCAAAGACAATGGGACACACGCCAGACTTCAAAGGTCATGGTAATGAGCCATTTCTTAATCTAACACTGTGGGCACATAGTTGGAACTATGTCCATATTCTTTTCCCTTACATGTCTTTGTGTCTGTTCATTTATTGTTGAATTACCCAGGTGGGAAGTTTTATATGACATAGAAAGTTGTGTAAAACACAATAGTGCCCTCAAGGAACTTGCTGTCTAGTGAGGGAAATGGACATGCCCTTTGGTGATTATAGTACAAAGCAGAGATTGAAAAGGAAATAGGAATGTTGCAAATAACATGAGGCCAGAGAGCTAAATGGAGCACATTAAATGGCCAGAGAAGGTTCGTAAAAGGAGCGGCACTGGAGATGGAGCTTGCAGGAAGAGTTCATGGTGATTCCAGGTGAGTCCTGGTGACGAGACCCCTGCACAGCGCTGGAAGTCATGTGGAATGGGCAGAGGAGAGAGCAGACAGGATTCCAGCTGAAAACACATGGAAAGGATAGACATTTGTCTAGTTCTCAGATTTAGACTGTAACTGTTGAGGGTAGGAATTCGAAAATAAAAGCACCAATTGTGAATGGTAATTTATACACATTTTTTTTTTATTTCTTAGCAAGATTCTATGGGAAAGACAACATTGTTTTATCCTTACACATCCCTGTGGAGCAAGTAACCTGCCTTTAGATGCAACTTGAAAGCTGGTGCTCAGGTGAAGGTCTCTCACGTGGCTGGTGAGGCCATGGAAGGTTATGCTTTCTGTGTGCTTTCCAACCTTACAGTGCAGAGCTTCACACCGCAGGAGCAACCCATGTCCTCCAACAGCTATCAGGTGTATTTTAGATAAAAGAAAAAGTCAAAAATATGTGTGGAAGGAAAACATATCCCTAGTAACAACGAGATTGTCACTAGGAATTTGGGAGTGTGTCATTTACAAAGAAAACTCTTTCATGGACTCCTGCTTTTCTTGGGAATTACATGTGCTCTGCGATGCAGTTCTCAGTCCGGAAGCTTCCACGGATCTGCAGTGATTACCCAGCATGATCGGGAAACTGGCCCATAACTCACTCGGGTTGGCTGGAGTGTGATGTGCTTTGCATTTTGTGATCGAGAATCCTTTCAAACGATCACTTGTAGCTTTGGTTTTATTCTAATTCTGGTAACACATTAAAGCGTCATGATTTGGGGGATTTACTGGTTGAATATGGGCCAATAGAAACCGAGTCTCTACTAGGCCAATTGCAGTGTTTCCCATGAGACTTGGCTACTACACAGAGCAGGTGTTGTGATTCGTCCAATAATCAGAAAACCTGAACTGTAACTTTGGATCTATCGCTGCTTAGGCATGGGCACTCAAACAAAACACCTCGCCTCTCTGAGATCAGAATCGTTTTCTAAATAATGGAAAGAGCACCACTCGGCCTCCCAACTCCACAGGGTCCTTATGAAAAATCAGAAAATCAAAGTGGTATTTGTTTGAAAACTACAAGTTTCCGCACACACACAGAAAGATGAATAGTGTTTTTCCTAATAAAGCAATTTAGAAAATGAATTAACTTTTTCAGTTTTATTAATGTAAAGTGATATGAAATAAATGTTCATGTTTCAAAGACAACTTGATAAATTTTGGCATTATATGTATACATACACACACACCATATACATACATCCCCCAAACTTTCTTCATACCCCTTGGTAATCTTTCTTGTTCCTCTCTGCCACCATAGCACTAGGTAATCAACAGTGTACTTTCTGTCACAATAGATTGTATATTCAGGGATTGTGTATAAACAAGATCATAAAGTATGTACATTTATGTGTGTGTGGCTTCTTTCACTCAGCATCATTATTTTCAGACACTTCTATCTTGTTATGGATCCCTAGTTTGTTACTTTTTATTGCTGAGAATTATTTTTATTGCTATGCATTATTCCATTACATGCAGGTAGTACAATTTGCTTCTCTGTTCACTTACTGGTGGACGTTCGGGTTCCCAGCTTTTGGCTATTATAAATAAATCTCCCATGAATATTCAAGTATAAATCTCTGTGTAGACATATGTACTCACTAACTTAAACACGAGTAGAATACCTAGGAGTAGAATGACTAGATTATGGGGTAAGTGTGTGTTTAAGTTTTTAAGAAACTGCCCAGGTGTTTTGCAAAATGTTTACACGATTTTACAGTTCCACCAACAGTATATGAGAGTTAAAGTTGTTCCTTGCGCATGCCAACACTCGGCATGGTTAGTCTTCTGAAATTCAGCCATTCCAGTAGATGTACAGTGGTATCTTATTGTGGCTTTGATTTCCATTTCCCTGATGACTAACGATGTTGCACATATTTTCACGTGCTCGTTTACTATGCGCATATCTTTTTGGTGAAATGCCCCAACATTTGGCCATATTTTCCTGGGTTGTTTGTTTTCTTATTACTGAATTCTAAGAATCCTTATGTAATCTGAGTACAAGTCCTTTATTGGATATGTGATTTGCAAATATTTTCTCCCAGTTCATAGCTTGTCTTTTTATTCTTTTTTTTAAAAAAAAGTTTATGTGTTTATTTTGAAAGAGAGAGAGAGAGAGTGTGTGTGTGTGAGCAGGGGAGGGGAAGAAAGAGAGATGAGGAGAGAGAATCCCAAACAGGCTCTGTGCTCTCAGCGCAGAGCCCGGCACAGGGCTTGATCTCATGAACTGTGAGATCATGACCTGAGCTGACAATGGATACTTAACCGACTGAGCCACTCAGTTGCCCCTTTCTATTCTTGTAATAGTGTCTTCCAAAGGGTAGATATTCTTCCTTTCTATGGAGATTATTTTATCAGTTTTTTTTCTTTTAGGAGTTGTGTTTTGGTGTTATCTAAGAAGTCTTTGCCTTGCACAAGGTCACGGAGATTTTCTCTTATGTTTTCTTCCACAAGTTTTATAGTTTTACGTTTCACATTTGAGTCTATGGTGCATTTTTATATATGATGTGAGGTTTGGATAGAGATTTTTTTTCTCTTTTCTTTTCTTCTTCCTCCTCCTCTCCTTGTTCTTCTTTTGTGTTGTTCCAGCATCATTCGTTGAAAAGATTGTCCTTTAGCCATTAAATTGCACCTTCATAAAAAAATCAGTTGGATATATGTGTTTATATTTGAAATATTTCTGGACTCTCTGTCTTTTCGTGTGTCTGGTGGCCATCTGTATATCTTCTTTGGAGAAATGTCTGTTCATGTCTCCTACCCATTTTTTAAAGGAAATAATCAAGGGGCGCCTGGGTGGCGCAGTCGGTTAAGCGTCCGACTTCAGCCAGGTCACGATCTCGCGGTCCGTGAGTTCGAGCCCCGCGTCGGGCTCTGGGCTGATGGCTCAGAGCCTGGAGCCTGTTTCCGATTCTGTGTCTTCCTCTCTCTCTGCCCCTCCCCCGTTCATGCTCTGTCTCTCTCTGTCCCAAAAATAAATAAACGTTGAAAAAATAAATAAATAAATAAAATAAAATAAAATAAATAAAGGAAATAATCAACAAAACTAAAAGACAGCCTACTGAATGGGCGAAGACATTTGCAAATGACATATCCAGTAAAGGGTCAGCATCCAAAATATGTAAAGAAATTGGGGCACCTGGGTGGCTCAGTCGGTTAAGTGTCTGACTCTTGATTTTGTGAGACCGAACTCCACATTGCACACTGTGCTGGGTGTGGAGCCTGCTTAAGATTCTCTTTCCCTCTCCCTCGACCCCTCCCCTGCTTGTGCGCACTCTCTCTCTCTCTTTCTCAAAAAGAAGATAAAAATATATAAAGAACTTATACAACTCAACACCAAAATAAAACAAAACAAAACAAATAAGCAGGTCTCATTTTAAAGTGTTTTTCACCATTGAGGCAATACCTTATGAATACTCAATATCAGTATTCTATAATACCTCTATATGAGGTCATGTAAGCTACAAGATTTTTCCACTCTGGAACACAAACTCTTGTTGGTCCTGTGTGATTTGATAACAGTTGTTCCTGGTCTTGGGTCGATTTATCACGTGCATACACTGGTCAGTCTTCAGTTGCAGACTGGAGGGGGCCATTTCAGAACCCCAGAACTCTCTCTATATAGCTCCCACCTCTCTAGTTTTTTGCTTTGTGAACTCCAGCCCCTTTGGTCTCCCCATAGTCCCAGCATCATCTCCTGAACTCAGCAAGACTGCCCAGCTATTCCTGGTTGCCTCTCTCTCCAGCAAATGAGAAGGCAATGGTGTGGGTTACCGTGTTTGTTTCTCTTATCTCAGGACTCGTCATCCTGCCTCAATGTCCGATGCCTGAAAACCAGTGCTTACATATTTTGTCCCGTTTTTCAGACATCCCATTTTGACTAGAAGTGAAAATCTCAAATGTACTATTGATACTAATTTTGATTTCCACGATTCTGTCTTTCCTGCTTGCCTTTCAGCTTCCATGTTAGGATTTCATGAAGCCAAAGCCTTATTAGACAGGAATCCAGGGCTTGGAGGAAAGAAGGAACAGGGGGTTAATAAAGTTTAAGACAAAAATAATGCAACACACCTTCACTGGGCTCCTTCTATCTTTGAGGCACTGTGCCTGGAGGCACGCAGGTATTAGACGTTTGCATAAGCCACAGTCCCCCACAGGGACTTCTAGAAAGACTTCAGGATTTCTCTGTGAAATGGAGGATACGCCTACCCATTGCTTTTGTTCTTTGCTACTCCCTCCATTCATGTCCCAAGCCTCCTATAAAAATATTTCTTCAACCAGACAGCCTGTGTTTGCTGCTTGCACGTCGTGGGTATCTGTGATCTTTTCCTAGTTGCTATGGGTTTCCTAAGGCTGCCTGCTCAACCACTCAGCCTGATTTGAGAAGAAACGTTAAAGCCATTAGTTGCATCCACTTAGGGATGATCTTACAAAACCTGACTCTTGTCCTCATCTCAGTTCAATTATGTGTTGTGTTTTCCTGAATTTGCTGATGCTTTATTTATGTTGGGCACACGGGCAGCTGTGCTGGCCTTGTTAGAGCGGTCTGCGCCCTTGCAGGAGCATTCCGTTCTGCTACATTTGTGTCACACATTTGCTACACAATGAAAAGCTGAAGCGGGGAGGTTCAAGGAAATGTCAGCCTGGGATGGGTGTGAAGCTCCGGCTGTACTCTTCCATCTTCTGGAGGAAACGTTACTTTAAATTGATTTGTCATTTGCAAAACCACAATCCTAATAAATATTTCATTAGAAGGTACTACCAGCTTTTACAGGACACTGCCAATCTCTGCAGGCTCCAAAGCTGATATGAGTTAATTCTTAGACTTTTGCTCATTTTTTGAACTGCCAGTGGAATCGAATGGCACCTTCTTACTAGAAGTCTAGCCAAAGAAAGGGCTATATATTCCCCGTAGGCATAGGCATGATGCCACTCATGCCATCCCATGTGAAAGGGAAACCCAGGAAGTTGCTTGGAAGGAGTAGAAGAACCTTCTAGAAGGAACCTTGTAGAACTCCTCTTAGAAAGGAGTGAGAACCTACTAGGTATATGGACCAAAGATACAGAGAAGGAAATTCCTTCCTTCCGCATCTGTTCACACTGGGCTACCATTCGGACTTGATCTTTAATTGCATTCCTTTTATTTGTGTACCTTGTCTGTCTCTTCCTTGAGGCTGAAACAAGAATATGTGGCATGGTGTGACTGGTGGGGTGCCAGAGCCGTGGCTCGCACACACAGCATTGCTCAAGGGCAATCCACATGGCATCCTCTCATCTGTCTGCACATACCGTCTCCTCCCCTGAGCCAACCCAGACACCCATTTCAGCTCTTCTTCGAGTTCAGGTGCAAAGTGCTCTCTCAGCTATAGAGCTGCCTCAGAGTTGCCTCTCATCCTTCTACCAACCCATATCAGCCTCTCTGCCTTCTCTCCCCTCACTTCTTAGAGGGAGTTTCGAATTCCTTTCTCTTCTAATCTGGAAAGGTGGACAGGACTTCAGCACTATACCAGCAACTGCCTTCCAGATTTGCACACCCAAACTTATTACTGTTACTCCCCTAAACGATGAGCTGTCCAGGTAACAGATTCCAACTTCTTTGGAAGGGATTTTGATGGCCATTCTTTGTAACATATTCTTTCATTTTGCATCTCACTTCTAACCAGGAAGATTCTCAAAGTAGTATTTTCCAACACATACAGTGATTCCAACAGAATTCAGATGGAATAAATCTCCATCACTTGACATCAGAGTACAAAGTATCGGGGCAGATCACTAAGAGATGGAACCATCAGACAAGGTTACAAAGAGAAGGTAGGAGTGGAGCTGGACCTTGACGCAAGAGTAGACTTAGGGTGAAGATAAAAAGGGAGACCATTACAATCTATTTTCTAACTTCTAAGTTATGCTTACGTTAACTCTTCCTAAATAAAAGCACGTCAGAAAGAGCAGGATATTCTCATCACATTCTTCACCGAAGTTGGCTATGATGATTTCTTAGTCATTTGGGAAGATGCCGGATCTTCACTCCGGAGGAGATCTGGAAGAGAACATGGGAGAGAGGGCATGGAGACATGGGTGTGTGTCCTGTGATGGTGGCCACTGTGGTAAAGGCAGTCATAGTAACATGCATGTAACATAGGCAAAAGTGAATTAATATGACCTGGGGTTGTAAGGCATAAGAGTCCCAAGCTGAGATATATATATTTCTTTATAAATCAGGTATCAATTTCATGAAATAAAATTCACCAATTGTTAGTGAATTTTGATAAATGTATTCTGTCATGTAACCACCACTATGATCATGATAGAAAATATTGCCAGAACCCAAAATTATTCCTTTGTGTCTCCTAACAGTCCATCCTCCTGCACACTCTGGGCCCCAGCAATCACTGATCTGCTTTCTATCACTATGGCCTTGCCTTCTAGATAAATGGAATCACACAGTATGTAGTCTTCTGGGCAGATATGAGTCAGAAAGAAAGGGAAAATTCTTGAAGCAACAGGCAGAGCTCTCTGCTTTGTATGATCAGGGCAGGCTACAGGCATCACGTTTACAACTGGAGGGTCCAACCTTTGCCAAACACTTGTTCTACACAGGAGGAAATGCACAGAGACCGACAGTGACCTGCCTGTGGTCATAAAGAAATCTGTGGGGAAAACACAGAGCAAACAACCAAGTCACAATTTCTTTTAGAATTTGACAAAATATTCGTTAACAAAAATGTCACATTTATTTTGAGAGAGAGAGAGAGAGAGAGAACGAGCAGGCAAGGGGCAGAGAGAGAAGGAGATGCAGAATCCAAAGCAGGCTGAGCTGTCAGCACAGAGCCTGACGCGGGACCTCAACCTACAGACTGTGAGATTGTGACCTGAGCCAAAGTCGGACAGTTAACCATCTGAGCCACCCACGCGCCACCAAAATTATTCTTAATTTCACCTTAAAAAAGTAAATGCTCTACAGTAAATATCCAAGCCACCTAAGACAAGCTATTTGATTTCTCCGTCTTGGTCTCCTTGTTGGTCAAATAGAAAATAATTGTATTTAAACAAAGAGTTTGTGGGGATTAAAATAGGTAAAAATGCAAAGGTCCCGGCTCAGAGTAAACAAGTAGATGTGAGTTTTTCTGTTATTAATCATTGTTACTATTCAAATATTGCAACCATCCCAGATCTTTCCAGTTTCTAGAACATGACATATTCTCTCATTTCAAGTTCGTCTCACATGACTTTGTCAGGAAAGCTCTGTCTCAGGCCCTCACCTGGCTTAATTCCTTAGATCAGCTTTACTGCCAACAGAACCCTCCCTTAACCTTGTCAAACCAAGTTAAATATACCTGTTACTTCTCCTACCATATAGTAGAGTCACATTATATATGAGAATCAAATTGTATTTGCTTTTGCAAGGCAAAAATTACGTAAGTATAGCCAAATACCACGTACAACTACACACACACCCACACTCACACACATGCTTACACACTCACATACATGCACTGACTCACTCAGACTCAGACATATACACACACACTTTAATAAGTTACCCTAAATATGTCCAACACGACTGAGTTTTCCTGCAGCATTGGTACGGCGATACAAGAACACAGATATCAAACACATGAATTCAAAGCACGGGGGCCAGCTAGTTACCAAGCAGTACTCTCCTTCCCCCTGGCACAAGTGTCCTGAAATTTATTCCAGGGCATTCAAGTCCAGCTGAGACAAACAGCTCCCACCCCACTCCAACTTAGCACATTAACCAGGCACATGAGGTCATCTGAAATTTGTGTTTAATGGACTTCTCCCACAGGGAATGCCAAGAGATATAAAAAGCCCAGATCATTTTGAATCAGGAGGAAATTGTTTTCTGTTTATTAAATCGTACTGGGATAACCAGATAGCTATTCGGGGGAAAAAAAAAAATACCAACTTGGATTCTTACCTCCCACCTAACATAAAATAAATTTCAGTGGAATCCAAAATGTAAAGGTTTCAAAAGTTAAAACTGAAACCCAAATGCACTAATATTTTAGAAGGAAATAAGTGAAAAAATTTTGTGGGAGAAGGAGAAGGAAATCATACCAACAAAATAGGATCCAGGACATGGAACCCACAAAAGAAAAGACTGCCCTAACATGCTACCAATCTAGAGAGACGTGTCATTTCTCATGAACTCTTGTACCTCTGCCTTGACCTTCTCCTTCCATTTCTTCTATCCCAAGTAGTTTCACACTAAAAGAATATTTGCTTCTTGGGGGTTCTCAAGGCACAAGAGATCAAAGATGGAGAGCATCTTAGTAACCTAAGGTCACACAGATCTCATGGTGCCCCTGATCTTGTAAACAATCAAGCGGTACAAATTAGACCACTGTTCAAAAGATTTGTTTTATCAGTTTTATTGAGATATAATTGACATATAGCATGGCGTAAGGTTATGGTGTGCGGTGTGTTGATTGGATAGGCTTATATATTGAAAATGATTACCACCATAGCGTTAACTAAAACCTACATCACATCACGTAATTACCGTTTCTTTTTTGTGGTAAGAACATTTAAGGTCTACCGCCTTAGCAACTTTTGAGTCTATAATACAGTATTGTTGACTATAATCATCATGCTTTATAATAGATCCCCAAAACTTATTCATCTGACAACTGGAAATTTGTACACTTCGACCACATCTTCCAATTTCCCCCACACCAAGCCCCTGCTGACCAACACTCTAGTCTCTGTTTCTATGAGTTTGGCTTTTTTAGATTTCACTATAAGTGCTATCATACAGGATTTGTCCTTCAGTGTCTGACTTATTTAACTTAGCATAATGGCCTCAAGGTCCTTCCATGTGGTTGCAAATGGCACAATTCCCTTCTTGGTCACGGCATATCTTCTTCATCCATTCATCTGTCAATGGACACCTAGGTTGTCTCCATATTTTGGCTATTGCGAATAATGCTTCAATGAACATGGGCGTGCAGATATCTCTTCAAGATCCTGTTCTCGGTTTCTTTGGATAAATACCCAGAAGTGGAATTGCTGGATCCTATGGTGGTTCTATTTTAATTTCTGAGGGACCACCATACTGTTTTCCATAGTAGCTGCACCAGTTTATCTTCCTACCAACAGCGCATGAGGGTTCCCTATTCTGCACGCCCTTGCCAACACTTGTTACCTCTTGTCTTTTTGGTACAAGCCATTCTGACAGGTGTGAGGTGATAGCTCATTGTGGGTTTGATTTGCATTTCCCTGATCGTTGGTGAGGTTTGTTTGAGGACATCTAGCCTCCATTGTTTAATTTATGACCTGTACTCCCGTGAAATTCATCCACTTAACATGCTGAAGTCCACACAGATGCTCTTTTCCCTGGTTAGCGCTGCTTTGCCCTCTTTGCCATCATTCTGATCTCCAGCCTTATCCCATCAGCCACTATTTATTTATGCTCTTCTTTCCTCGTCTCCATTTCATAAATTTTTTGAAATACTGGCTTTGACTTCTGACCTCTGTTGCATACCCACAAAGCCCTTAACTGTTTCTTTTTAAAAGCTAGTGAGGAGTATTAAAAATAATATTACCAAATAATGACATAAAATAGAAAACAAATACCAAAAGCAGTCAGGTAAACCAAACCACAAAAACTTTTGATTCAAACCAAAACAGATCATGGGAGGTAATTTCTAAAACACAATAACAACCTTGACTGCTTGGGTCTTAATAAGACTACAAAGTTGGCAGGGGCGGGGAGGGGGGCAGGGAGAGGAGGGACATTAGGATGGGGATTGGGGGAACTGGAGGGGACCCAACTGAAAATGTGACCATTCCTGTTCAAGGGAAGATCTGTGGGTTTGGGGAGAGTAGCCTAAGAAGGGGCAGGGAGAGGAGAACCTTCCCGGTGGGGGTGGGGTTGGGAAGGGTGTGGTCACTGGAGGAACTAGATGGCGCCCTGGAGAGAGCCAGGGGAGAAGGAGGAGGGGCATGCAAGGTCCAGCCTGGGGAAGGACTTTTGTCTTTATTCTCAGGGCACAGTTGAGGTTTGGCGGCCTGAGTGGCCTTGTGATGAGCACATCTGAGCGGCAAATGCACGTTCACATTTCATTCCAGCTGCCACAGCACACTGTGCCATCACTCCCACACCCCCGCAGCAAAGCGCCAGCATCTTTTCTATATGAAGAAAAGAGCATATGCATAGGTGAGCGCACACCCATATGCGCCCGGCCCAGAAAATTACAGGGTGCCAACTTGTTAACATGTCTCAAGAAATTCCATACTTGCCCTGGTACCCAATATTCAGATGAAAATATCCACATTGGAAGCAAGGATTGACACATCCGTGTCTGTATCTCCATCTTTTCCCCTTTAGGACTGCAGTTACCTATAAAAAGTCAGGGAATAATGCTTCATCACTGCCACAATGTCCAGTCTAAGAAGATAAGGAGGTCTTTCCACTTAAACTAACCAGGTAAGAAATCTCCAACTTGAAGAATGTACCCAATCAAATGATATGAATACAGCTTTATATTCTTAATTGCATCTTATGAATTCTGCAATTATACCGTACAGAGGTCCACTAGACCCTGCTGTGTGCTGAAAAGTGAGGTTGAGAGGGAAGATTCTAGAGCGGACGGTAGAGATGAGCCAGGCGGGTCTCTGATCCTACAACTTTCACAGCGTGGGCCAGTATGGCATCCGATGCTAGATGCCATGGAGTAACCCAGTGCATGGACCACAAGTGTCTCCAGACTCCCGTCTGCTTGGCCCCATGACCAGCTCAGCCCTGCATCTCCTTTGCCTTTTAATCCTCAGGACCAAATTCTGTTAGTTCCATGGGGAAGAGAAATCTTAACTTCTTTTGCTAATAAGCTTAGTTAACGTTTTGAGGGCAGTTAAGCATACGGCAGGCCTTGTACTAAGCATTGTGTGTGTGCTAACTCCCTCAACCGTCACACTGGCTTGACAGGTGGTTTTGCCATCTTCGTTTCACACAGGGGGAAGCCAAGGCTGAGAAAGAGTAAATAAGTTGCCTAATGTGCTATCGGACAAAAAAAATGGTAGAACCAGGATTAACATCCAGTTTTGTCAAGTGCCCAAGTCATTTCTCTTTACTAATGAATGTACACCAACCTGGTCAAACTAAACCTGGTCAAATCCATCTAAGCATTTGTTAACTGGCTATATAGCAAGGATCAGAATGATGAATTTCTGAAAAAGTACATTAATTAATGGTAATAACAATAACTTAAATCTGTGTGGTGAAGTATGGTTTATAATGAGTGACCACACCTGTTATCCCACTGAACCATTTCCATAACCTTCTGATGTAGACGGCACATGTCTCTCCTTGAGGTTCAGAAGCTGAGCGAGAAGGCGAGTTCCCTGGGCAATCAATGGAAAAGCTGCTTCTGAAAGCCAAGTTTCCCCACTGCAAGTTGAGTTTTTTTAATCCAGCGCCCAATGTCATGAAAATATCCATATTTGACGTACCCAAATGTGTCAACATTTCCTCCAGCGCCTTCTGTGTGCAGTAGGGAGGTCACCAGGCTCCACACTGATACTCAGTGTTCTGCAGGCCACCCAAATTCTCCTCTTCCTCCCTCAGAGCTCATCTTAATTGTATGGAGAGTAGGCAGCTATTCTCTTCATGGGTCGATCTCAGAGGCACAAGGCAGGCCACACTGGTGACCAGAATAATTCTACCTACTGACTAAAGCCTGGAAGTCAATCATTTACAGTCTCAGTCCTGTTATTTTGCGGATTTGATTCTGGCTGAAAATATAACGTCCCCAAGAAAGGTAGTACTTCAACGTGTTTTCAGGAAAGGGCCATGTAGGAGAGCAGGTTGTTGTTGAGCCTGGAGTCAGGACACCGGGATTCAAGTTCAGCCTGTGCTTTGCCGTTGGCAGGGATCTGGGGGCATCCCTCGATGGAGCCAGATCTCCATCCAATTATCTACAGATTCAGAGGCAGTAAACCAGAGACCTGGGATTCCCCGCAGCTTTAGCATGATAGATTTTTCAGCTTTGTTGTATGTCCTTTGTTGACGTTTAGACCTTTCAACTGTTTTGAATTATGAGATTCAAATCAACAGTGGAAGAGTACAGACTCCTGTTGATGACATACTTTAGGGAGTCTTTAGTGTCTACTGGTTAAAAATAATTTGCTTGGCTCTAAAAAGATAGTTGTGAAACTTTCTGGCAGGACTTTACATGGAAGGGCCTGACTATGGCTAGCCCATTTCAAGTGACACTTGTTGAAGTTGCTGAAAACAAAATCTTCCTTGAATACCCTTCCAGAAAAAGGTGATGCTGCGTCAACTCAATCCTGAGAGCTGTCACTCTCCTGCAATCATGTTCAAGAGGATCACCTTCCCAAACGCTTCCCAGCTCTTCACCTCAGCAGTCACTAAACCCCATGTTCTTTTCATAGTTTCTTTTTTTTTTAATTTTCTTTTAATGTTTATTTATTTTTGAAAGAGAGGGAGAGAGACAGAGTGTGAGCTGGGGTGGGGCAGAGAGAAGAGGGAGATAGAGAAGCCAAAGCAGGCTCCAGGCTCCTAGCTGTCAGCACAGAGCTGGATGTAGGGCTCGAACCCATGAACCGTGAGATCATGACCTGAGCTGAAGTTGGACGCTTAACCGACTGAGTCAAACAGGTGCCCCTCATATTTTCTCCATGTACTTTCTTTATTCTTTCCATTTTTTCCCCCTCTCTGTCCATCTATTTTCCATTCTATTCACTTTTGCTGTCTATTCTACTCTTTGGAAAAATGCCTAGAGCTCAATGTCTTACAGACTTTCGGTAAACAGAAGAGTTTTATTGTGTAATTGGGGCTAATCTAGCTCCTTGATAGATCTGCTGACTCTGTTAAACCTGCAAAATGTCATTCTTGGGATTATGGTGAATTCTGTAATTAGTTAATAAAAATTACTACACTGCAGAAAGTCTATTCAACCTTCCAGCTGCAAAAGCCCTCCCCCATCACCCCATCTTCTTCCTGGCTGTGGCTCAAGGGCAGTGTCCATACCTCGGTGCCTCCCCCATAGCAGATGCCAAAGCGTTCATATGTAGCAGTAATGCTGGATTGAATAAGAGAGTGACAGGCACATACTGGTACTTCACGTAAATACACAGAAACAGATTGGAAAGGGAAGAGGAAGGCAAGGTGAAGCAGATTCTCTTTCTTTCTTTCATCGAATTTTTAATTTGTATTCCAGTTAGTTAACATAGTGTTATATTAGTTTCAGGTGTACAATATACTGATTCCACATTCACTTTCTTTGATGCTGACTGACTGATTTTCCTGATGTGCTTCCTGTTGTCCATTATACCTGCCCCGATTTCATTTAGATAAGCCCCCTCTGTGTTTTCATATGGGAACGGAGAAGCCAGACACTGAAAATGAGAGCAGCTGTCATTTATGCGCATGTCCTACGAGCCAGACTCTGAGCTGAGGCTCGCCCAGTCCTTACAGAAATTCTCTAATTTGCAGAGAGAACCCAAGGCCCCCAATGCAGGACCATTCTGTCATTGGCAAAGCCGTTTCTCTTCTGCTTTTTTGGAAGAGAAGTGATTTTTTTTTTGAATTGGGAACCAATTTATAGGGCGGTAATTCTCAACAGTGAGGAAGAAAACACAGGCATTTGTATGTATTTCAAAAGAATCAGGGTTTGGGAAAGAGCATAAAAGAAACAGAAATGTAATTCCCAAGCTACTGCAAGAAAAACACTAGACTCCCCAGACTGGAAAGAAAACGTTTCCAATGATATGTAAAGAACATTCCCCCACTATCATCCCTAGAACCTCCCATTTCCACCCCCCTCCCCCCCCCACACCCACCCACCTTTCTGACTAAAAGTCCACTCAACATTTTGAGGACAAACATGGCGGCAGGGTAGGAGGAGTGGGGGATGGGAGGGTAAACGAGAAAGGAGGGGCTCACACAGTGATGGCAAGTCACTGTTAATAGCAAGGTTGTTTCATAGCAGGACATGTGGGAATTTGTCTGGGACCTGAGTGAAGAAATGATGCAAGTTGTTGCCCTGGTGAACAACGTCCTTCACGTGACAATCTAAGGTGCAGCTTCCCTTGCTGTTGGGGCTCCGGCATCTTCCCACGGAGGTGGCGCTCTCTGGGTCTGCTGTTAAACCCTTCCCACCTTCCCGAGATGTTACCTGGAAGCTTTTCTACTTAGCGATACACTTTCCTTACTTAGCAAATTAATCCTTCCAAATTGCAGAGGAGAACTATGGCCCCAGTTCTGAATCTCGTACAACAGCTTCCTTCCCCCTCCCCCACATCCTCCTCCTCCTTCTACTCGGGGCTCTGTGGACTCACTTTTCAAATCTTTTCCCTTTTCAAATGGGCGCTTGTCTTTTTTTTTTTTTTTTTTTTTTTTAATTTTTTTTCAACGTTTATTTATTTTGGGGACAGAGAGAGAGCATGAACGGGGGAGGGGCAGAGAGAGAGGGAGACACAGAATCGGAAACAGGCTCCAGGCTCTGAGCCATCAGCCCAGAGCCTGACGCGGGGCTCGAACTCACGGACCGCGAGATCGTGACCTGGCTGAAGTCGGACGCTTAACCGACTGCGCCACCCAGGCGCCCCAAATGGGCGCTTGTCTTGAAATGCGCTTGGAACAGCACAAGTGTCAGTCAGGTTGGCCCCGGGTCACCTCTTCCCTCACCCTGCACACTGCCTTTCAAGCTTCTCTCTCCGCTCATGGGGACAAAAGTAGCTCTTGTGAGATCCTGGATATCATGTACTTGAGTGCAAAATGCACCAGATGAGGCACCGGGAGCCCCAAGGTTTTGATTCAGCTTTACCTCTACTGACCTGTTTGACCCTGAGGGAGTCACTTAGTGTCTCTAATCCCCAGGCTCCTCGGTTTAGATGGATGGTCCTCAGAGTTCTGCCAGCTCTAGAATCCTCCTCCTCTGGGGCGCCTGGGTGGCTCAGTCGGTTGAGCATCTGACTCTTGGTTGGGGCTCAGGTCATGATCTCACAGTTCATGAGTTTTCACACAGTTGATTTTTTAAAAGCCGCAATGTGAACACATCACTAGTGCCTCTGAGAAAATCTGGGCAAGGGAGGGAAGTCTAAGCTGTGCCAGCCTCACAGTCAACTCACCTCTACCTGAGAGTTCACCAGTAAGAGAACGCCTCAGGTGAGAACAGAGATATGGCTCTTCCAAGATCACAGGTTCATGCACATGGAACCAGAAGCCTCTGAAATAAGATGTGGCTCTATGTCTGAGGATTTCAAATGCTTACAAAACAGAAAGACATTTGGGAGGCATAGGAACCATCCTAGGCTTACTCTTCTTTGCTTCTCGAAGGGCAAATACATTGACAGGGATGTGAACCTGACCGAAAAGCCAAAAAGCCAAGAAGAAAAACAAAACAAAAACCTGCTCCAATTTGCTGAACAGCAGAACAAATTGAATCCAAATACACACACTTTTATACAGCCACAACCCACGGCAAAGTTTGATTTCTTTCCCTTTCAAAAAAACAAGATAAAACATGTTTTGCTTTCTTTCCCATAATGTTTTCATTAATTTTGTTCTGGAATTTTCTAGGTATAGTATGCATGATTTTCAGCCAAACTGAGCTGCGATAATAATAATAATAATAATAATAATAATAATAATAATAATTTTCTCATTTTCTTGTAACTAAACTTCAATCTGTCTCATGCCCTCATAGCTGCCCGGAAACTGAAAACTCACGCAAACTCATCCACATAAATGCAATTTAAGTCAGTGATTTTGTAGTAATTTTTGGTTTAAACTCAATCAAATTAAAAAAAATGTTTCCTCCCCACCCCTCAGTTGGTTCTGAACTGGCTGTGGGACTTACCACCCATTGGAGAACAAGAAGCTGGAGGCACTATAAGAATGTCCTGAAGGAAAGGGACAGAGCAGCAAGAAAACTGAAAGCAGTTTCATTCCCAGGACGGAAGGCTGCCGTGACTGCTCATTCTCTCCAGAAGGACATCATACGGGCTCCAGGCCTGGGATAAGAATGTTTTGTCTGGTGCCAGATGTACTCATGACCCAGTATGGAATATACTGCAGGTGCACGGCCTGTCAAGATGCCAAATACTATGTTGTACGTGCTCGCTGTTATCAGGTAATTTGCAAAAATAAAAGAGGCTTGAGCCAGGGGACCGATGCTTCGGCTCCTGGAGAGTCTTAGCCCCCTGGTTTCCAATTCTTTCGTCACTAAACCTTTAGGACCTGTCTCTCTGCAAGCACCTAACTGCCTCTCAGGGCAATGAGACAGGCAGCTGGGGAACCTGCTGGCTACTCTTCCAGCATCTGGACTGGCTGGTGATCCCATCAATTCTCAGCACCCCTAGCAAGCCCCACCCTCAGGAACTCGTGGCAGTCTGCACAGGAATTTGCAAAGGCTCCAATCCGTGCAATGTGGGCCTTGATGTGGGGCCAGCCCGGTGAGCGTGAGAAAAAGGCCTACGTGCCTGAGTGGAGCTTGCAAGGGGACAAGCACGGGAGACAAGACTATGCTACCACGGGAAACGTGTTAATGTAGACATAGAGTTTACTCTAGAGTTAGATGTGATGTATAACTGCAAAAATTATACAGCATTTGCCATATTTAAGACTTCTTTCTATTCTTTTTAATTATTTTATTTTATTAAAAAAATTTAATGTTTATTTTTGGGAGAGAGATAGAGACAGAATGCAAATGAGGGAGGGGCAGAGAGAGAAGGAGACACAGAATCCAAAGCAGGCTCCAGGCTCTGAGCTGTCAGCACAGATCCTGTCACGGGGCTCGAACTCACAAACCGTGAGATCATGACCTGAGCCGAAGTTGGACGCTCAATTGACTGAGCCACCCAGGGGCCCCCAGAGAGATATTCTTTTAATGTTTTGTTTATTTTTGAGACAGCGAAAAATAGAGCATGAGTGGGGGAGGGGCAGAGAGAGAGGGAGACACAGAATCTGCAACGGGCTCCAGGCTCTGAGCTGTCAGCACAGAGCCCAATGCCGGGGCTCAAACTCATGAACTGCAAGATCATGACCTGAGCCGAAGTTGAGCCACCCAGACACCCCTATTCTTTTTAATTATTTTAAAGAGATATTTAGAATCTATTACAATATTAAGTCATTAAATCTTGCAAATACCTAGAAGCATGCTCTTTCGACCCTTGGGGACTGATAGCCAAAGCCACGTATTTATTTATTTTTTTAAGTATGACACCAGAGCAATGACGTCCTCTTCAAACTTACATTGAGCAGAATCATCATTATACAAGACAGGTCTTTAACTCTCAAGTCAAATAACTCTTTAAAGGTGATTTATTTTGAGAAAAGCGACACTCAGGGGGGCACTTCCCATTTCTTTTCTGTGATACTCAGTCTCCCTACCTTCTCTCTGCCCCACCTGCCGCTGCTCCTCCCACCTGATTGTATCCACGCCTCCATTCCAAAGTGCTGGCATGTTCTCCTGCTGGAGCCTCCTCTCGCCTGGCCCCACCATGGCCAAACCAGGCTCCCGCCTCCCCTGAACCTTTCTGCACCTTCCCATCCCTCACAGAGCTTCTTTGTCCTTCTGTCTCTTCCCAGCAAAACAGATTTCTGCTACAGCCCTCATAACCATGCATAGAAATAGTGTGTTACATTGAGAGTAGGAATTCAATAGGAACTGGGGGGACTTGGCTTTGATTTTGCTGTTCCCCCAGTGGCTTTCCCTTCTTTGTGTTCCTAGGACCTCACACCCAGCCTGGTACCCAGCAAGCACTTCATTAATGCTTGTCCAATGAATGCAGGGGATGCTGTGGCATGAACACACTTGGGCTTGACCCAGATTACTTTGAGCCAGCCAGAGTGAAGTTTTCAGTTGAGCCAGACCCTTTTTCCTCGCCTGCTTATTCCAGGACAATTTCACTGTCTTGTTCATGGTTTTTTTTTAATTTTTTAAAGTTTTTTTCTTTAAGTTTATTTATTTACTTATTTACTTATTTATTTGAGAGAGCGGGGGAGGGGAAGAGAGAGGGAGAGAGAGAGAGAGAGAGAGAGAGAGAGGAGAGAGAGAATCCCAAGCAGGCTCCATGCTGTCAGTGCAGAGCCTGATGCAGGACTCCATCCCACGAACTGTGAGATCATGACCTGGGCCGAAATCAAGAGTCAGACACTGAAGTAACTGAGCCACCCAGGAGCCCCTGTCTCGTTCATTTATGAAAGTTATTACAATTGGCAACAGTGCTGACTTGAATTTTCCTTCATGACTAAAAAAGGCATTATTAATTGTTGAAAGGGGCTGTTAGGTATATGGGGATTTGTTGTGCTTTTATACAATAACATATTTTTAAAGTATTATTATTACCCAGTTATAACATGAGTAGAATCAGAGAAAAAGAAAAAAAAAACCTTCATCCACATGCCTGACACTGTAACAAATCAGTTTCTACTCTTTCCTGCTTTCTTTCAATTTGCCCCCATGTGCATATGTAATTTGTATACAGTTGCCATCATGTATACACATGTTTCTAAGCTAAGAGGCATCTTAACTCCCTTTCTTTCAGCTTCTGCTCACTTAAAAGTCAGGTGCCTATAAGACAACGATGTCCATGATGGCACTGGCGGTGATGGCTGTCCCTTAATGGAGTTCCAGCCCTGGGTCGTTACTGCTTATGTTCTATGTCTGATCTGAGAACAGACTCAGCAAAGCTGCAAACTTGTCTAGAGTCACAAAACCAGTGGAACAGTAATAATACTTGTCATCCTGAATACTCAGCAGTTACTTTACTCTATGCCGGGCCCCGGCTAAGCAGTTTACCTGCTTTATTCCATTGAATCCTCAAAGCAATGCCACATTATTATTATCCCCTTCCCCCAGAGGAGGAAACTGAAGTTTAGAGAGCCTAAGTCAACAGCCCAGATCACACCACTAGAAAATGGTAGAGCTGGGAATTGATCCTAAGCTCTCGGACTGCAAAGCCCGACTTGTAACCAAGGATTTGACACTGGATGTGGACTCCCTCAGACTCAGGGCTTCCTCCCCTTAATATTCTACCATATCATCTTGACAGGGAGGGAGGTTCCTTCCTGCTAACCATTTAAGCAAAATCTGAAGTGAGACAGTAATAGGCAATTGGGGGAGGGTATTTTTTTTTTTTTAATGTTTATTCATTTATTTTGAGAGAGAGCGAGAAGGCGAATGCACGAGCAGGGGAGGGGCAGAGAGAAGAGACAGAGCCCCAAACAGGCTCTGGACCACCAGCATAGAGCCCAGTGCTAGGCTTGAGCTCATGAACTATGAGATTGTGACCTGAACTGAAATCAAGAGTTGGATGCTTAACTGACTTTGCCACCCAGGCACCCCAGTAGTTTTTTTTTTTTTTAATGTTTATTTATTTATTTTGAGAGAGAGAGAGAGAGAACACACACACATGCACGAGCAGGGGAGTAGAAGAAAGGGAGAGAGAATTCCAAGCTTGGAATAGATCAAGCCTGATGTAGGGCTTGATCTCAGGGAACCGTGAGATCATGACCTGAGTTGAAACCAAGAGTTGGACGCTTAACCGACTGAACCACTCAGGCTCCCTGAGTTGGAGGAGTTTTTAAATAAGATTTTAAGGGAATAATTTATCAAACGCATAAGTTAAATGCACATCACGCATATTTTAAAATTCCTATTGGAGAAGCATGTATCTCAGACTGGACTGAATGGTTCACTTGACTGAACGTAGTCTCTCTGCTTCTCATTTTTTTTTTTAGCCATTTTTCAACGTATTAATCTTAAAATGCCACAATAATTTGAAACTTCTTAAAAGGAGACTTGATCTTTAATGAGCTCTGCTACTCTGGTCTGAGGGTATTATATAGCATCTCACTGCTCTTAAATTCATGACCTTGCTTTCTGATACAAACTGAACGTGCAGAATGCTGATTTGGTGTTTGATTACTCCCTCGACTTTTAATCAAAACAGCTTTTTATTTCCTCTTTCCTTCAGTGCCGTTTAAGCATGAAGTGTGCTTTGATGATCAGGCGCACATGAGCAGGAGTATAAAAGCCTTCGCTGTCACTCAGCTTCCGGGAGGACAGACGACGGGAAGACGCTGGGAAGACTCAGCCAGGAGAACTGGGGTTAGCTCGGGGGAGGGGTTTCCTGAGAGGAAACGGTGTGCATAACAAAATGCATCTCTTTGTGCAAACAGCCTTTTTGAAAACCCAATTTTCGTTTGTTGGGATGGTTTAATGAAATGCAGCTGGCCAGCGAAGGCAGACTCCGTGTTTTCTGAGAGTGGCACAGGGCGTGATTCCCGTGACAGGCTGGAGCTGTTGATGCTCAGGTTGCAGGGTGAAGTGGCCCTGCTGTGAGCTCTCTGTTCCTGCATGGATGATGTTAGCAATGGAATTCTGTAGAACTAGAAGTTGGACACCGGTTGATAACCAAGGCGGGTTTTATTTGCGTTTCTGGTCATGTGGGCCACATAGTAGGAGAGGGGCAGTAACCCTCTCAACATAGAGTGGGCTCAATTCATAAATGAGAAGCCTTAGTCGGGGAGGAGCCACGATTCACTGAATAGGTCAGTGGCCTCCACTGGCCAGTCTCCTGCACTCAAGGGGAGCAAATAATGGTGGATACGATTTACAAGCACAGTTATGGTCCAGGTGAGGAGACTGGCACAGAAGCTGATGATTCCCACAGGGGCAGGTTTCTCAGGTTCACAATTATTGAAATTTGGGGCCAAATAACTCTCTGCTGTGGGTGTCAGCAGCATCCCTGGCCTCTGCCCACGAGACGCCAGTGGCACCCCCACCAACCCCAGGGTTGACAACCGAGCCCATCCCCAGACATGGCCAAGTGTCCTCTGAGGGGCCAAACTGCCCCATGAGAACCGCAGCCGTGGGAGGTGGTGAGTACTGTGTGTGACAAGGGACAGTTCAGGACACTCTAGGAAGGGAGGAAGGATGTCCAGGCAGCCTTGGAGTTAAGGGGGGACACCACGAAAGCTCCCTCGAGGAGGTGACACTGCGCGTGGTGTGAAGCATGAGTAGTGTCAGCCTGTGAAATAATGGAGCAGCTTAACAAAGGAACGGCATCCTGAAACGCAGAGGGTACATGGGGCAGTTGCTACCTCAGTATTGCCGGCAAGTCAAGTGTGTGTGTTGGGGGTGGATGGTAGGACATGAGACTGTGATGGGGCACGTGGGTGACTCTGGCCCACAAGAGAGTCTGTGGGCATGGGTGTGTCATTGGAGGGCCTGTAAGCAGTGGGTTGGTAGGAATTGACTTCTAGAACATTCTGGCCATGATGCCCAGGATGAGTTACGGTGGGCTTTTGAATGCACCAGGTGCT